AAATCTCGCAAATCACTTTTGGCACACGCGTTCTTTTACGGCACCTTTGTCTCCGCGATGACCTCCGTATTTGAAGTAAATTTCTTTCCAGCGAGCCATTTCTTCATGTTTAGGAACAAGTAAAAGTCACTGGGGGCTAAATCTGGTGAGTATGGTGCATGTTGCAGCAATTCGAAGCGCAATTCATGGAGCTTTCCAACTCGAAGATGCTCGCAATCGAAGATGTGTGAGCGGGTGCGTTGTCATGATGGAAAAGCACTTTTTTCTTTGCCAAATGAGGACGTTTGGACTTAATAGTATCGTTCAGTTGCTCCAGCAATGCTGCATAATACTCTCCGTTGATAGTTTTGCTTTTTTGTACATAGTCTATAAGCACCATACCCTTCGAATCCCCAAAAACAGTCGCCATCACCTTTCCTGCCGATGAAACTGTTTTTGCCTTCTTTGGAGCACTTCCACCCGCTTCCACCCATTGTTTGGACTGTTGTTTCATCTCTGGCATGTAGTGATGAATCTATGTTCCATCAACAGTGATGAATCGTCGCAGAAATTCGGTTGAATTGCGTTTAAACATGTCCAAGCACTCCTGAGAAATATTCATGTGAATACGTTTTTGATCGACCGTTAGCAAACGCGGCACCCATCGCGCTGAAAGCTTTCTCATGTGCAAATGTTCGTGTAAGATGTTGCTAACACGATCTGTTGAAATCTTTGCAATGTCAGCAAGCTCACGCACTTTCACTCGTCGATCATTTAACCCGGCATTATGGATTTTTGCGATGATTTCCTCAGTCGTAGCGGTTTTTGGACGACCTGAACGTTCAGCGTCATAAATGGGCGAACGACCATGTTTGAATTCAGCAGCCTATTTCTTCACTGTTGAAAACGATGGTGAAGAGTCTCCTAAAGTGGAATCCACCTCGTCTTTTATTTGGCGTTGGCGTTAAATCTTTCAAAACGTAAAAGTACTTTATCACTGCGCGATACTCGACTTTATCCATTTTTCGAGAAACACTAAATCTTACTTGCTTTCCTCGATCACAACAAGCAAACGACTGAAGGCATTTGTCTGTAACGTTACAGTAGACCCTCCTGGAGGATCAAACTTGAGAAAAATCATAGCCAGTTGATATTCTTGGCGCTATCTCTGTGTTAGACCGAGAACTTTTCGAACTACCCTCGTATATTGTACAAATCTTTTTACAGGTTTGCGCCGCGTTTTTGTTTTTTTTTTAATAAAAAAACATAATTCATAATTTGCCGAAAATGCTCGTTCTAGTTATCCATTTTCAGATGACGCAAAATACACAAGATACACAAGCAATATTTACGTATATTTTGTAAATGCACGTTGAAATGTCATCTGTCAATGACTATACGCTTTCAAGACTTTCGATTGAAGATAAAGCTTAGCAGAGCGCCTTAAAGCCATCTATCGAAAAAAACCGCACGGACTTATTGGCCAACCCAATATCACGTACACCAACACAGATTCTCTGGCTCCAAAATGGCGGCTATGAGAGGACTTAACTTTGTTCCATTCCTCTATTTACGGATTTTGTTCCGCTCTACAGGCTCCACCGGGAGTGCCCACTTTATATTAGGTGAATTGATGAATCAATTAAAATATTTTCTATAGTTTTGTATTATTTTTTCCATCTTTCTAGTAAGAGATGAATTCCATAGATAGAACGATTCAGGTTTTGAAGCAATCCATTCATTCATCCACTTTCAGACTTCTTCGTAATTTCGAAAACGAGCGTCTTAAAGGCCATACTGTATTGAACAAAATAAGTGGTAATCAAACGAGGCCACAGGTCTAGAGAATACGCGGCATGCGGAAGACCCTCGCATTCGAACTGTCAGCGTTTCCTTGACGACTACTGCAACATGTGGCCGGGCATTGTCGTGCAACAGAATCAATTTTCTTTTGCTGTGTGCGACTTATAGTCGTTTTTGATCCAACGCTAGCTTTAAACTGTATAATTGTTGTCGGTACCGATCCGCCGTAACAATTTTATTCGGTTTTAAGAGCTCATAATACACAACACTTTTTTGATCCCACCAAATACACAACAATATTTTATGACCATGAATATTTCGTTTTGGCGCCGATATGAATGGTTGATCTGGGTCTATTCATTTTCTTTTTGCGTTTAGGATTATCATAATGTCCATTTTTCATCACCAGTGACAATCCAGTATAAAAAACTCTTGTTTTTTTGCCTGATAATCAGAGCAGTGGTGATGAATATATGGTTCAGCATATTCGCATCGGTCAGTTCATGCGGCATTTTCCTTCTTTTTGAATTTTTCCCATTACATGTAAAAGTTAGAAACTGTCAAAACTACAACATTTAATGCCTCAACCAATTCTTTGAGTGTTTGAAATTGATTTTGGTCTAATAATGCTTGCAGTTCGACGTCTGCAAACTTTTTTAGCTGACCTGGACGTTCTTTGTCTTTCAAAATCACTACTTTCGAATCGTCAAAACCAATTTACATGTTTCTGATGGAGAGTCACCAAAAGTTTCCACTAATATTCGATGTGCTTCAGCTGCAGTTCTCTTTATATCAAAGTAGTGGAGAACATATCGAAAAAACTTATTGCGTCCCATTTTGAATTGATTTAAACAATACCACTGCTTGCAAAAGTAAACTTTGGTGGACTACATTCTATTGAAAAACGTCTAATCTTTAATATAGCATAAATTCCAGCTGTCATAGTTCGCTACATTTGCATCTGGAGCTATTTAAATGCGAACAGCGGAAATGAACCAAAACACTTAATAGATAAAGTGAAACATGTTTAATTTTATAGAGTAATTTAGGTTTAGTTAATTAAAAATATATTCTAAATAGAAACAATGTTTCTTCTAATTATATTGCATTACTATAAATCGTACATTTATTAACATTAATAAAAACAATCTATAATAATTAATACAGTCCTAAAACTATATATAATTCCATATGATATATTTTAAAACAAAAGATATTTTAAAACAAGAAGATAACACATAAGCTTACATCACAATCTTCGTACTGATATCTGGTTTCTCGTCTTTTACCATTTTTACCACATAAATCGAAACAATTATTATAGACATTAATCGGTGCAAAATACCGAGCGCCGACTAAAATCGGCGCTAGTATCGACAGCTCAGCTTATGTAGATGCCGACTATAATCGGCACTCATACGTACAAGTTCTCACATGGATGCCGACTAAAGTCGGCGCTAAGAAGATTAAACAAACACAACAAGTAGCAGAAGTGGAAGCCTCTTCGGTAATCTTCATGTCTTCACCACTACTTTGGTTTCTTCCATCGTGGGCTACAATTTCATCCGTGTTTTGTGCAATAGGCTTTCTCTCTTGCATAAAATAATCTGTTTCTTCTTGTTATATTATTTGAACAATTTCTATTATTTTTTCCAGTTATTCCTCAGTCTGTGTCTTATAAAATATCTCGGGGTCTGTATAACTTATAAAATATCTTTGACTGCAAAGCTAAATAGGGTCTCACGTCTTCTCTGTGAAGGTTTAGCTTTGCAGCCAAAAAGAACTTCATATGATATTCTCTTAATCCCAGAATGAAAGGCCCTGTTCTTCATAAGTTGGACGAAACGTAGTCCCTCACTCCACCAGTCAGTTTTTCATCTTGCATCCAAGTACAGCATGTTTTCAATGTCTTGATTAGCTCTTTCGACACTACCCTAGCTTTATAAATAGCGAAGCTTGCCACGGACGATCTTCAAAGTCGGCCAGTACTCCTTTAGGCTACTCACCACAATATTAGAAAATTTCCTACTGTTGTCAGACTGTAGAATCGATGGTGTTCCAAGCAACGTAAATATGTCCGCAAGATTGTATGCTATTTCTTCCGCTGTCTTTGATGTCAGAGTCTTGAGAATCACAAACTTAGATGATCTCGATACACCATTATAAATTTGTATTCCCTGCCAGGATGAGACTGAAAATTTATCGAATGAGATCGACCTGATAATGGGAATTGAAATCGCAAAAAACCATAGGCTTCACCACAACACCTTTTTTAACACCTTTTTGTTTTTTCTGACACAGCTCACAAAGGCGAATATACAGTTCAATATCATGACGAGTAACGTTCTTATACTTGAAAGTTCTCTCACGCACAGACACACAGTTCTTTCACGAACATTCTCTCACGTCCTCCATGGCCAATGGCCAAATGAGCCTCACGAAGTACGTTAAGTAACTCAGAGTCCATGACGTATAACGCAGACGCCTCCTCTAACAGGATAAATCAACTTACTTTTGTTTTCTACCACCATCATAGCGATTCAGCAACCAATAGTCCCGTCGTTTTTTCTTAGTAGTTTTCTTAGATTTTCTCACATCGTTCACCAACTTTTGGTAAGTGGTTTCGATTAGAAGAACACTGTTTTTAGCAGCATTGGCTCGCATTTTAGATAGTTCTTCTAGATAGAATCGTCGTCAGCATGCCGTAACTCTTGCCCGGACACTACTTTCTGCTCTGCCATTCTCATATATAGCACAATATGGACTAACGTTTGCTGATTGAAACTCGCATATTTCGTCAATACCAAACAAAAACTGAAGTGCAAATGGCGGAAGTACTCAATACTCTCCGGTTGAGGCGAGCGTCGAAAGTTACTCGCCACATGACAATAAAAACACACATTTTACACTTTGCCGGTTTACCTTCTAGCATTACATAGGAAATGTATAAAATATTAAACGTTTCATACTTTGACATCCCACTCTATAGATGTCCTAGACATTCTATACAATGGCTAATTTCACACACTGACGATAACATCTATATAGAAATAAGTTGGTGCCAGAACTTTATCTAGATGATCATCTATATGTGATTTCATCTAGATAAGTAGTAAACACACTACCAATAATTTTTACTGAGCAATTGCACAAGCGTTTATCTTTTCCAAACGCGATTGGTTATTCCTGTCTCATGATGAAAGCCATCGTGTCCTTACCTGTCTCTGTCAAGCCCACGTCCTGAAGTCTCTCTCTCGCGCTCCAAACGATACCTTTCTCGTTCTCTCTCGTTATCCTCCCGGCCCGAATGTTTGATGTTGACATCAGGGCCTCCTCTGCGAGTGCCGCCCAAGCCGCCGCCGAGTCTTCGTGGTAGCCAGCCTTTTACCGTTCTCGCGCGCTCGACATCGACCAATACTCTGCGACCATCTATTTTCTTACCATCCGCATGCTTATAAGCAGCTAAAAGGTACCGAGTCAGAAATTACTGTTCGCCAGCGGTTCCACGCGCCTAGATAATTTATGTGCCTACAGCGAGACCGTTTAAGTCCCGACGAAGGGGACGAGAGTTCCGAGGACCCAACGCGAAATTACTGAAACTGCGAGTCTTGGAGCCAAACGTCTTCGAGATCGCGAGTCGTGCGGGTTCCATGATCGGGCGTCGCGGGATCTAAGAATATTTGCAGACGAGCCCTCGAAAAGCAAGGATTCCAAGATCCACGACTCTCCCGATCGACTAGCCCTCAAATTCGCGAATTTTCGAAGTTAGATCTCCCATCCCATGACTCGCAGACTTTTCAACAGGCAGTTTCTCGGATTCTCAGATCCTACAAATCCAATAATTCTCGGACCTACGGAACCTTGAAAAAAAAAAAGTGGAAACTGGAATTTACAGATCCTAGACTCGTGGACCATCCGAATGTGCAAATTCTCTACTCCACCACGAAGACCGCGGTTTCGAGAATCTGTGAATTTGGAAGTTGGCGAAAATCGCGCTTCCGGAGACCCAACGGTTCTAGAATCTTAAACGTGTGTGTGTGTGTGTGTGTGTGTGTGTGCGTGCGCTTGAATTTGCCGATCAAACACACATGTCGCTGAAAATCCAAAGGATCCTCGGTTCCGCAGACCCTTTGTTACAGAAATTTCCAAGATGTCCGTTTCACCGGGTAATGGTAGAAAGACATAAGAAGAAGAAAAAGAACGGTGCGAACTGCGAACAGCAGTCGTTCGGAAGAACGACGTGCTTTAGAATCGACCAAGATCTGCAAGTCGTAAATTGGGCAGTGCCAGTGCGCACACTCTCTCGCTGAATATCCTGAGGGAAGTTGTTAGTTAATGTTGAGGAAGTATCTATATCTCGACCACCGATGCTGCTCTCGCAGCGTAACCAACCAGACCACCAATGATTGTCGTACGAATTGCAGCCGATCGCGTGCATCACTTCCACTTTGCTAGCGCGTATTATTTTACACGAAAAAATGCAGAAAACAATATAAGATGTTACATTATTACGTAAGTCGTGCAAATCAAACGGCCTTCATTTGTGAAACAGCGGGACGCAATCGCGCGACTCGCGAAACAGATATTTTGCTAAAAGATAAAATAAAAAAGAAAAGAAAGAAAAAAGAAAACTGAATATTCGAAACTCAAAATTGACCTACAAAACGAGAAAGTATCTGAATAGAAATCTCAATAGAAATGTGTGTAAACCTGGACTTTTAAACAAAAATCGTACATTCTTCTTCTCCTTTTAACAATTGTAATTATACAAAAAGAGAAGAGAGAACCTAAAACTCTTTCCTTTGATAAATAATATTTCTGTTTTTTAACAAGTATCGCGCTTCTGATATTTTCCGATAAATAATTCTCGCGTGTAACATTTCTAAAATACAAGGCCCGGTCTATTAAGGTCCAATGTTACGATAAAGTCCCGTCTCTATTATTCTCTGTCACAAATTTTCCGATGTAAAACAAAGGCGCGCCATGCAAGCTGTAGTCGCAACCGCACACGGCGATCGAAGGATAAGGAGGAGTGCTTTCCGAATTTCTCACGGGGGGCAGCTTAAATCTACTTGCTGTTTAAGATCCAAAAAAGTATAGCAAATACAAAAAATACCTACCGCGGCTACTTACGTACGGAAGTTAACACAAAGCTTAGAGGTACGGTCTAATCGTGAAATGAACTCGTGTAAGAGACTCGCGAGGAGATTACTCATTGCGAAGATGCCCAGGCTTCATACGTTCGTTCGTTCGTTCGTTCGTTCGTTCGATCTCCGAAGAGGTTTACATTGCGTTTTACCTGGTGCGCTTTCTTTTCGTTCTACTTACGACCAAACCGTGCGCATTTTCGTACATACTTATGGTACGTGTTACAATGATCTAATAGTAGATTACATTTATCGTAATGTTAAGGGCGAAGTGCCACGAAATAGTCTATACGCTTCGCTATCTCTCGACTTCACGTCTCTCTGACTCTAGAGGAGAAGGGAGCTCATTTGTTTGTCGATTTTCGGGGCCGCAAATGCGCGATCGTAGGATCCGAAAACCCTCGAGCAAAGTCGGGCTCCGATCTGAGGGAGATCGCTCGGTCCTTGGATTCTACATCTCTCCGATATCGTGGAATCTAAGGATTTTAGAATGCGCAAGGACTCGCGGACTACCCGGCTAGATCCGTCGACCCGATCAATTGTAGGAGCCAGAGATCTTACAATCCACAAGTGCAGCATGCGTGTTATTTCAATCACACTTTCGCAGGAAGCGATATTGCGAGGAAACGCGAGGAAAACGACCGAACTCTCCGGTACTAAGTGTAATTAGTATTCTATATCGAAATTGATCTATATCGAAATTGATATACCTGTTCAAGGACTTGTGTGCACGGTTGCTCTTAATCGCTTCCTTGAAATGCAAGTGTCCACCGAGTAGCTAATATCTCATCGCATATTTCATAGATACACTCTGTACATCCGTCGTTTGTCCATGCAAATTTTGTGCTTAAATCTACTGGCGAACTATTCTCACGCATTCAAAATCACGCATTCAACCTCAAAAAAATAATGTGCATGTATATATATATATATATATGTATATATTTAGTCCTTGCCGCATATCGATTGTGGCACACCCTTTCTGCGTTAATTCAGTCCCTACGTTCTCTGACGAAACTTCCGTGCTTCCCGTGACTAGAAATTAACACTCTCAAAAATCACTACCGCAAGTGAAAAAGAAAAAAAGAAAAAAAAGGAAGAAAAGATCCTAGATGCATCCGACGATAAAAAGTGTTAAAACGAAACACATGAGCTAGTTGTATCTTTCGTGTAAAATGTGCAGGATACATACCATAGGATGGAACCTCATCCCATTTTAGAGTATCAATATCATAATTGGAAGAAATAATGCCATTCTATGACATAGGAAGAAAGCAAATGCCTGTTCACATATAAGACATTTATCCTTCTACCTTTAAGCCACAGAATTATGGCGGCTGTTCTAGTTGCGAATACTGTCCTACTGTTTATACATATCTCTCTCTCTCTATATATATATGTGTGTGTGTGTGTGTGTGTGTGTGTGTGTGTGTGTGTGTGTGTGTGTGTGTGTGTGTGTGTGTGCGTGTGTGTGTATGTGTGTGTAAAACGATAAATGTGTATGCAAAATGCACTCTACGTTTTCGCTATATTTCCCACCGTACGAATGAGTGCCTAATACGCGGACAAGGTATGTGTCCCTGAACCTTCATCCTAGAATCCCACCAATCAATTTCAATGTAGAATGCTAACTTTCGCGCAATTCTTCGGATCCGTAGATACTAACGTCTGCGGATCCTAACAGCCGTACATCTTACGAACCGTTCGGTGCCGCTGATCCCATAGAATCCACGGACCAGTTTTAGCAGAGCGTGCTCTAAGAGAGAAACTTGGTCGGACGTATACGTCGAAACGGGTCGGAAGGCCCCGTAAAGAGCGTGGCGGGTGTTATCACGGTCGCCCGTTAACCATTCGACCGAAACCGCGCGTGTCGCTCGACAAAATTCTGACACGATAAATAGGGTAAGCAAGTAGACGCTAGCAAACGTTGTTGTATGTTGGATCTTACCACACATACAAACCTATCATATCAGGCAGGTTCAGGGATTTTGCATGGAATAGTGAACGGCACTAGTTGCCGGCAGCGGCCACCACGCTGTACCAAGAACAAGATAAAAACTGCATTAATCAAAGACAGCCAATAAACGTTCACGTCGTTTGTTTGTTTTTGTTCATACGTTCGTTCATTCGTTTCACTTTTTACCGTATTTATGCATTTATACAACGGTATTCCTGCATGGGTGTGCGTATGGCGGGGACCCCCCCTAAATGTCTGGTTTAAGTACCGATAAAAACGGGTAGCCTAACTATAGCCCTGTCCCCACTAAATCTAGCTGAAAGTGACGCTAAATAAGGGTAAATTTCCAGACTATACGGGGCTCGTTGAACTTCGCGACAAGGATGCACTTCTTATTTTTCTCTTTTTCTCTTTACCTCTCCCAGCATTGTTACTTACAGTGCATATCTCGTTCGTGCTCATATTCAATGAAAGCATATCCCCGTGGCTTGCCATTAACTGTGTTATGTATTACCACAATCTATAAGAGAGAACCAGGAACTTCATTATTCTTCTTAAAAATTATTTATTATAATTTTATTAAATAAAATTTATTAGATTTATAATAAATTATTTAATAAATTTATTAAATTCATAAATAATAAATTATTTATTAATTAAATAAATTATTAATAATATTATTAAATTACTGTACTGAGGAGTCATGTCTACTTTTGTATTAAAAAATAATTACCTTTTTTACCGGTCCATATACTTCAAATTCTCTTCTGAGTTTCGATTCTGAAGTATCATAATTCTATAGGGAAAATATATACATTTTAATATATATAATTATATATTTACTTGATAATTATATATTTATTTGATATATGCTATGTAACATATCACTACCATAAGTTATTCAGAAAACTACTCCCACAGATCAGTCTGTTCTTTTTCTACTTTTTCTTTTGTAACAGTGTAAAAATTAAAATTTAGAGTTCGTTATATGTGGATATAGAAGAAAAAAGTGTTGAATATATGTAACATTAGTTTCTCATAAGAAATCGATGCATCACAATTATGCATAACAACAGTAACGAATATGATAATATATTGACATGTGTGTATATAGACAACATACTTTTTGTATATAAATATAAATACTACTATAGAACTTACAATACGAGCTACAAAGAGAGTCTTGAAAGGATCTGCTGTTACGTTAGAAATACCAGCTGGATCCCATACTGCAATTTCTTGTTCAAGTTTATAAGCAACCTGCTCCGCACGTTCTCTTCTTCTGCGTTCAAGACGTTCCTCTCGAGTCTCTACGCGGACTGGTGGTGGTGTCTCTTTAGGATCCTATGAAAATATGCACTTTTTCTTATTGAAAGATAAAAACAAGCGACAGAACTTGTCTGCAGTGATAAGCTATTCGAAGGACTTGAGAATAAATAAAACTATACCGCTCTTCTAGACTTGTTCAAGTAACAAGTAAAGTAACACTCATTACTTTCACATTCTATGCATCATTCTTCATAACCATTCTTCATAGTAGCAAGAAGCAAAGATCACAATTAAAATGAAGAGAACTTTTTCTCTAAACAATCTGATCGATATGAAAAATGTAAATATGACGCAAATATATAAGCTAAGTTTCAAACGATCACGCCTCACCTCAAAGTACTTGAGAAACGTCCCGACTCCAATATAGCCGCCGACCTTCTTCTCATGTGGGAGTTTGTTGGCCGGTGGCAGATACGGGATTGGATCCCGCGGTGCAAATAATGCTAACAAGTTCGGTGGTAGGAATTGAGTCATTTCTGCAAGAAGCAGAAGAAATTACTCCAATACGGAGTGAGAATAAAATGCACTGTCCGTTGAACGAATAAAACAAGCAAGATCAATGCGACACCATCTTATGTGTCAAAAAGATGGCGTCCAAGCTCAGTCAAGCTTCACCACCCTAAAGGCCGTACCTCACTACAGGTTGGTTGCGGTTGGAGTTAACAGTAATGAATTAGCTGATCATACTACATGTTAAACAGTCAACCTACACGTGATCTTTTCTCGCAACCTTATTAAATGATTTTACAACAAGCAAGTCAAAAATAGATTTGGGCATATTGTTGGTCTGTTCTTTCTAGCTGCACTAGTGCAATAAGTTAGAATGAGACAATTATATTTTTCTCACTTTAACTTATTTCACCAGTAGTGCAGCTAAAAAGAACAGACCTATGAACTCTCTTTCATTACTAAAAATGACTCTAAAAGGCTTACAACCAATCAGAATTCACACCTTGGCAGAAAAGTACAAAGCAGAACGATTGGTGCATTTCCATCCATCTTCGGAAATGTATCAATCACAATGCAATATTTTCATCCAACAAGCAATCCAGCACGAAAACAAACACCGTGTGCCGCTGGCTTTATATTAAATTTGTCGTACGACAATCTTTTCGAATACGTTGATTGGTTAACAAATAGAATATTTCTATTTAGGATTGCTTCGCGTATGCCAATCAATGTATCCGAAAAGCTTGTCGTACGATACATATAATATTAGGCAGACGCTGATAGTCTGTCTCTCCTTCCTCTCTTTCTCTCTCTCTCTCTCTCTCTCTCTCTCTCTCTCTCTCTCTCTCTCCCTCTCAAGAAAGAGAGACAGACTGCCAATGCGAATTCTGATTGGTTCCTACTTTTCTGCTTTCTATTTTTAAAGTGCATTCACACCTATGCAGAAAAGCAGAAAGCAAAAAGGCAGCAGCCAAGAGAGTGATGGAGAAAAAAACTCTCATAAGAGAGAGACAGACTATCAGCGCCATTTGTGATTGGCTGCTGCCTTTCTGTTTTCTACTTTTCTGCTCAGGTATGAATGCGACCTTATCTCCAAGAGAGGATTTACATATAGGGCCAAAGCACAGACTTCTGCATAACACATAATACACACGCATAAGAGTATCAACCAATCAGAGTCCTGAGGAGGGAAATGAAGAACTCTGATTGGTTGATTCTCTTATGCGTTGTGTATTATGCGTTATGCAGAAGTCTGTGCTCTGGCCTTTAGGCTGCGATTTCATGGACCGATATTTTCCGCGTAATGTGATTGGTTACGCGATACGCGTAACCAATCAGAGACGTTCTGCGTTTTCTATTACTCCTGTGTCAAGAAAATTGCGTATTACGCGAGTTTATTGCTCGTAAAGCGAATAGGCGTATAGCCGACATGGAAGCATCTGTAAGTTATTCTTTAGATATTATTATTCGTCAGTCTTTACAACAAAATCATTTGTACAATAGTTTCATTTTCTGTATTTTATTTTATCTTAGTTATTCTATATGTCTTTCTTTTTTCTTATTTTGTTTCATGTATTTTACAGGTTATGTTTATTATGCATCTTTGTTCAGTTCTAATTTCTAGTGTAAAATATAATATACAATTAAATAAAATTTTAAATACTTTTTATAAAAGTAAAATAATGTTTGTCATTATTTAACAGCAGTTATTACTCTTTGTAGCAAATTAAATGTGGATATTGCGGTTGACTATTGGCACATGCGGGTTAAAATATTTTAGAACACGAATGCTTCAAGCAATATGATGAAAACACACATGCAACAAATATTGACAAAAATAATGTAGCTACTATAGGTATAAGTATTCCAACTGAACATCATTTTGTCATTTTGTATATTATATGAAATGCAATATTATAAGTATATGACTTTACGTGACATTCAAATCTCATCATTCATATGGACGAAAAATTTGCGTAGTACATACTTGCGTAACCAATGAATTGTAACATTTAGAATTTCTGTTGGAATGTTCTAAGAGAATAGCAAGATATCATTGGTTGTATGCGATACGCTGCTGCCGTTTTACGTTCCACGTGCACTAAAGACATTCAATTCAGCGTAACAGAAAGCGCGGAACGCCTCTGATTGGTTACGCGATACGCGTTACGCGGAAAATATCAGTTCATGGGATCGCAGCCTTAGGCGAAAAAGTAGAAGGTAGAAAGGCAGTAGCCAATCAGAAGTCGCGCTGATAGTCTATTCCTCTCTTGAGAGAGAGATGGAAGAGAGAGACAGACTATCAGCGCGACTTCTGATTGGATGTTGCCTTTCTGCTTTTTGTTTTTCCGCCTAGGTGTGAATCCTCCCTAAGTGTAAATGCTCCCTCAGAAATAATATCCAATAGGAGAGTTTAATTTCTAGGGTTTTTAACTCACGATATTTTTACATATATTCAGGACAGAGCTCGGCAAAGTTTACAACTTTCGGCCGATTCTCGGGAGCTATGCCTCCTATCTCCCCTTACCGCGCGGCGGATCTTGCAACTGACGGTCGTGGCTCGCGACTTCAGGACCGTTGAGATCATAAGGCGCATCTATGTAGTGCCTACTAAGGGCCAGAGCACAGACTTCTGCATAACGCATAATACACAACGCATAAGAGAATCAACCAATCAGAGTTCTTCATTTCTGTCCTGAGGAGGGAAATGAAGAAAACTAATTGGTTTATTCTCTTATGCTTCATGTATTATGCGTTATGTAAAAGCCTGTGCTTTTGCCCTAAAGATGCATTCGGGGAGCGCGTCGATCAGCGCTAACGGGTCATTCAATCCTTGTACATATAATGAGCGATAAAGATAGAATAACGTGTTAGCGTTGACAGCACGCTCCTTTAACGCATCTCAAAGACTGAAAAATAAATGTATCGATACAACTATACGTGTAATATTTTGTACAAACTTGTACAAATATATACTCGTATAAGTATATATACAGGGTGTCCCAAAAGTAACGGACTACCGTAATAATCTGGTAACGCACTAGAAACGTACTAATCAAAACCTAGCATTTCTAGTATGTAACTGAATTTTACTAAATCCAACGTGAAAACAAATATCATATGCCACTGGCTTTAATTTTACACATTTATAAAGTTTTGATATGCAGCAAAAGATTACCTCATAAAGACATCACTTAGCAATATCTTATCTCTGTAGAGCATATTTTCTAATCTTTGATCATTGTGAAAGCATTGTGATTCTCCCGTCACTGAAGAGAGGTCGCTGGTGTCCGATTTCAATTTGTATCATCTATGTAGTCCATGTTCAATGTTTGTGATCGAAGTATAGATGCTTCTCCTTCGCTGCGAATTTTCCTTTGGAAATGTTGCGCTAGGTAATAATTACGAATTATTAATTGCTCCATAAATCTAAAATCTGTAGAATCGTCTGAGATTTCTATGGTTAATTGTACTGCATCTCGTATTATTCAGTAGAATGTACATAAACGTATAAAGTATTGTTTCGTTCCGCTTACAGACTTTCACAAGTTTCGACTACTGCTGCCGCGGGACGGTAATTTTGCGAAGCAGCCACGCAGATACGTCTTCATCGATCACTCTCGAAAGATAAGTGATTAAGCTTCAATTATTCGTTATGAGATATTACATACTATTTTAGTGAGATCTTCAATACGAATCGTCGAGTAATTTGTAATTTGTGCAAATGCCAGAACATACAAGTATCGACGCGACTTAATCGCAAGTAAGCCGACAGGTTACAAATAATAACTTGGAGAATGACAAGAGAATATTCTGCCCGCGGGAGAATATTGCTTCAACGACGTATGTAATAAGAGTTACCACTCGGTTAATTTCAAGCTGATAATACTGGGCATTGCCATTACAACCATACAATGTAAGGCCGTTACATCCTTGTTTCGCCGCGCGAGGAAACATGTAGGATGTTACGCAATCTCAATGCCGCGCTGAAAAATCACGCAATAATATAGACGAAGACGGTGCCGTTTCCTTTGAATTTCTGCAACGCCGTTGATTATCGCGACTTAACTATACGTTACGTAATGACAATCGTCGCACGTAATTACAGTCGCTTTCGACAGCGACGCACTTCCGCTACCTGTTACCCACGACTCGCCTACCTTTCGTTAACTGGAATCATCCGGCCCATCGAGCGACATTTAACGTGAAAAAGAGAACGGTATTTCGTTACACCGTTAATCCGCGATTCAGCATGGTACAACCTCCAAATACGAAAACATATATATAGTATATGCGTAAGATGAATGAGAACGTTTCCATTCCACGGTCTCGAGTATTTCGACATATATGTGTTTGGCGAAAAATAGAAATCTTATCTGAGAGATAAGATTACTTGGCCAAAAATATCAAATGTATTCTCCATACAGAAAAGAAAAAAAGAAAATATATATATATATACATCTATATTTGCATAATGTAATGATAATAATAATATATAAATAAAAAGAATATAAACATATATTTATATTTGTGTTTTATATTTATGTTTATATCTTATTATTTATATTTTTTATATTTATATATAGGGAGTCCCATTTCAAATAAGCCAGGCAAAAATCTCGAGACATATGAAAGATACTAATAAAAGATGACGCCACTTTCGAGATATTCACTGATCATTACTTTTCTTAAATGAAAATCCCAATTTCTTATTATATCATTTTTTTTCTATCAATTAATTTTAACAACTTTCGTTTGAAATATTTTTTATTTGCCCAATATTTCTTTAGATATTTAAGGAAAACTTAGTACTTTCCAACATTCGACTTACAACGTGGATTACGTCGTGTTGTATAAACGATTTTATGATTTGATAAAGCAATGATGAAATTTAGGATAAAAAAATATCTTTAATTTTCCTATTTTCATTTTCTCTCACTCTGTGTTATAATTTTCTAATAACGCTTCTACATGTGCATATATGCATATAATTCGAAACTATAAACGTTTTTTTTTTCTTATTTTCATCCAACGCACTAATGCAGTTTTGCCATTAAAATCTGGAATGCGTTGTGTGTATGTGTGTATTTATACAAAATGTATAAAAAATATCTTGGCCCGTATTTCCGTTGGCCCGTATTGAAAAATGTCACATA